GCATGGTAGCAAGCTGAGCTGTCACCACGTCTTGGTTGGCCGTGGAAGTTGAATTGTGAGCTGAGGTATGGGGTTGGTTTTCATCTCCTCCTTCTACATGATCCTGAGGTGGAAATTGAGGTGGGATCTGAGGTGGGCTCATAGGTGGAAGGTTGTTGGGGGGTTGACCTTGCCCATGAGGCAGAGATGAATTACCAACTCGGATCGATCGAGTGTGAACCATGACGAAAGAGCAACTAGGGAGATTTCAGTTCGATTCCCACAGACGGCGCCAATGTAATTGCACCAAACCAGAAGTCCTTCTCCAGTTCACGCTTGCACTCCGGGATGACCTACAAAGCCCCGAGGTGGAACTCGGGGTAGACACTCCGATGCTTAAGTTAGCAATAATCGGGACTACCTTTAGGGCGGAGATAAAAAGAGCTTAGGGTTGGTTTCAATTACCTTTTTGATGTGGCTCGGAGGGGTATTTATAGGGTCCAATGAGGAACCCACGTGGCATGCCAAGCAAGATAATCGGAGCCTGACGTGTCCATCCAAACGATTATTTCGGGACCGGGAATTTGAGAGGTATTCATATATACGGATGTCTACCATACTTGCTGTGCCGCTTATCATAAGGAATCAGGTGCGGGTATGCTTATTGTCATTGTCATGCAGCTATTTGAGCGGGAAGCTTTGGATTTATTCCTCACTTCGGTCATAAAGGAATTACTGTAACATTCCGAGGCTTGGCACCTCGGCCATGTCCTTACAACATTGGTACAAAAATTTTGAGAAAAGAAAATTTCTTTTATTAAAACTGAAATTAATATATATTTATTTATTTATTCAATTCAATTTATTTATTATCAAATAAAACTTAATTTATAACTCTCAATATTCAAAAAATAAATACAATATTAAAATTTTACAATAAAAACAAAAAAAAAATCAATCTATTTGCTCAAACTAATAATTAAAGCATAATTTGAAAAATAACAATAATAAGGTAAATATAAGATATAATTAAATGGTATAGTAAAAAAATTAAAAATTACCTCAATTAAAAATTTAATAGTTATAGAGCACCATTCATAAAAAAAATGATAAAATATAAATTAATTTAATATTTGCATATAAATTCAACAAAATAATACAATCAAAATATAATTAAAATGCAAATTTAAGGTACATAAATAAAATTTATTTACCTAATATTTATCTCCCAATAATGTTTCCTACAAAACAACATCAAAAAAAAAAAAATTAGAACTCCAAATAAATTGATAAATAGCTCCAATTAATGTTTAATCAATTAGGAATAAAGAATAAAAAAGAAAAAAATATGAGATTGAGAAGAAATAAACCAAAAATAACAATAATATAATGTAATTATAAATAACATAAAATTCATTAGCATTTGATCCATAGAGGGAGGAGGAGAGATAGATAAGGGAGAAGAAGAAAGAAGAGAAAAAATGAGGGGACTATGCTATGTTGGGTTATATAGAGTATTTTA